GAGCAGAATTCTCAACCAAATTAGTTGCAAACCAAGTTACAATATTGAAAGGATCAAAGGAATAGACTAAGTTCATCCTCAAATGGAGGTCTTATAGATTTTGTTTGGAGTCCAACTTGGCTATACATTTTAATACAAATATCGTTGCAAATTTCGAAGAATAAGTAAACGAGTCTTCTTGTCTCGCAGACGCGGCTTTAAATATGCTGTCGTTGCCTAGCAACCCTACACTGTGACTGTTAGGAAAAACAAATTTTGAAGTTGTTGATTTGTATTTGTCATAATTTTTCAAAAACCCATAGATTCGCATTTTGATTTACACCGTTTCTGTTCATTCAGTTTCCCATCAACCCGGAACAGAATTGAGGGTGAACAACTAGTAGCTGATTGATTGCAGTGCATTATGACTTTTTCCGACCATTTGAAAGTCATGAATAATCGCACAAATATCTCGATCATCTTCGTAAAAACATTCATCTAGACATCGTGTGAAACCCATGAATATAGGCTGTTTTGCGTGTGAAAAAGCACCAAATGGTACGGTCCAAGCAGTTCGCTAATACCGTTCGCAACTAAGTAACCGAATGGGATCTTTGGTTTATGCACTTTGTTCTCTGGGACAAGGATGCTCCAAATGTCCATCGGTCTGTTTGAACCCGACATCTGGGTAGAGAGTTCATATATTTTTTCTGTGGAATTACTACCCCAGGTAACACAGCCCATTTTAATCAAGTAAAACAGGCGATGGGTGGAATCGCGTTCGTCATCCAAAAAATTACCCGTTCATCCAAACTAGCGCCATCCCAAGTCCAAACGCCACATCTTCATCGTTTCATTTGAAAAATCATATGAAACGTCCAAAAGTGACTCTATTCAGTTTTTTTATTTGGAAAAACTTTCTGGATCTGGATTTGTTTTATTATTTCAACTCGTCTTTCTTCTGCTGAACGCTAAAGTGCATCGAGTTCTCTTGACCAGACATAATCCATTTTTAAGGGAAGATTATCCTATTTTATCCATGTGTTGTTCACTATTTTGCACCATTCAAATTATTGCTAGAGAAGTAATTTAAAAAATATAATAAGTTTGATACATGGCAAATCACTAACAGAAAAATATTTGTTAGCTTTGAGAGATATAAAAATTGAATCCATAATGATAGTATGAAATAGACTCATTTCCCCTTGAAGTAAATAGAAGCCGTGTTGTTATGATCTGTAATATATATTGCACGGAAGAGCCTGATATGCCGAGCAAACTGAACTACAAAACATCATTTCAGGTAGAAGAGACTCAAGTTATTTTCCTCCTCCCTGATGATGAACCAAATGTTTTGGTGTTTAATCTTTTATTTTACTGCAAATTTATCTTTTTGTTGAACGCCCGATCATTAAAAATACACCATCTTTGCATCTCAGTTCATAGATATCGCCTACGAGACTCTCATGTAAGTATGTAAACCCACGTGCCCTATGGTTGCCATGTTCTTATCTCAGCCAATGCTCTTTCAATAGCGATACCCGATGGCGCAATTGAGTTTACCATATTCACAAGTTATACTTATTATATCTGTTTCACGGAATGATTTCTTTGTGATTGGCATAAAACATTCACAGGGGTCGTAAAATTCAAATGTCCCATTTGTTCCACGAATAAGCAGTTGATGTCCAATTATGGCTCCTAAGATTGTTACTTCGAGCTTTATCTTGCACGTCCACTTTGCGAATCTCACTGGAATCGATAAAAACACCACATCCAGAATTACTGATCTTCCTTAAACGTTCTGCGCACCAAAGCAACATGTGCCTAATAATGATTCGAGGTTCTGCAGAGATAATCCTTCAGAATGCATCAGAATTTACTTGAAATTCTTGTTTACAACAAGTCTTTTCATTTAAATAATAAAAAGGCTATCGGTGAACATCTGTAATTTTCACGCTTAATACAATTGCATGAAAGATCTCCTGTTTAGTACGTCTGCGATAAACTAACGGAAAAACAACATTTTGTTAAAGCTGACGAATAACAGGCATTGATTTATTTAGAAATCAGCAATGCAATTAACAACAAAACATTACAATATGACGGTAACAATAACAGAAAGCTAAAGCTGATCGTCAAATTTTCTTTTCAAATGGGAATACAATGTTCTTTAAACGTTCACCTGTTACCTGTTAGTACGGGTACCATACACCTCATCCACTTTTTACGTAATAAATGCTACATCGTGGCGTGTTTGCCCGAAAGTAGCACGTTCGTTTTTTCACTCCGCAACGAATGCATTTCCAAGGATTATAATCAGAAATCGAAGCACAATGAGGCTTTTGGCTTTACCCAGCGCCTGAAAAAGTATAAATTACCTCAAACGTGTTGATGTCAGCCGTGTCCCTCAGGAGTACAGGTTTCACGCTTAGCTTCTTGGCCAGCACACAAGCAGTTCGCTTGATGTCCTTCTCGGGAGTGAACATCTGTCTGATACTATTTGTCGGACATCCTTACCAAAAAGTGGTATCACTAATAACCAAAATATATATGCGAAAAGAAATTTAAATTTGTC